CATCTATTAACCAGCACTCCAAAAAAAAAACAGAAGAAAAAAAAATGGAAAAACTGTTCCTAGTTGGTCTTCTGTTGTTTGCATATCATTCTACAATGCCTGCTATTTACTCTGATACTGGGAGTTTTCTTCAAGTTCAGCTACTACGAAATGCAGGGGGTGAGCCACGTGGACAACCACGTGATCAAGACATGTCCTTTGCTATGCATCCTATGAGGCCACTTCATGCCTCTTTAATATCACAACCATCGGCAACTGGTCGAACCGATGCCAATGCTTCCAAGTGGGATCGAGCTATTCCTGTCAATGTTGGCCCCACCTTGCATTATCATCCACGTGCTAGTCAAGTCGTACCTTTTGGCTATCAATCGTCAGCCAACAGGTTTGGAGATGCCAATGCGGGACCTTCTACTATATCTCAAGCAGCTGCTGATGAAGGATCAAGGACAGGAATCAAAGGATCCGGAATATTGAGGTCCATTAATGTGAGTGGTGGAGTCTCTGATAGAAGCCTTTCTGGTGTACCATTAGGTGGTGCTAAGCAGAAACCCGGGCTTCACTTGTCTGACCTCGAATCTTCTAACCCAAGGTAAGTTTAGTGGATAATGCACAAACTGCCTCATTCCATGTCTGTCTGACTTTCTTTAATAGTATCATTGAGACTTCTTGATGTTTGTTGCATGATAGTCGGCAAGGACTGACATCCGCTGGATCTCAAATGACTATATTTTATGGGGGTCAAGCCCATGTTTTTGATAATGTCCATCCCAACAAGGTTTGTCTTCTGCTTTGTCAAATCACACCTCTCTTCTGTGTTTCTACTCTTTCTGTATGTCTTTGTGTCGGTTTTCCCTTTACTTTCTTTTTAAACCGAGTAGTTGAATAAATTTAGTGTGTAGCTTAACTGATAAGTTATTATCTAATTGCTCACTTTGCTAAATTCCCGGGTCTATTATCCCAGCTATATTGTGTGAAATCATAATCCCTCATGCTTAACTTGGCTATGGTATTACCTGATGGTGTCTGTGGCGATGCATTCTTGATATGTTTAGTTTTGTTAGGAGAATTTTTGGGTAATCCGTTTCTGGTGTTAGATGAGAATTATCATATTGGAGAAGTTTTAACTTGCCGTAAAGAAGATAGTGACGGAAATAGTACTGGTATGTATCATATCTGAATGGCAGGCACAGCTGTAAATGAAAATAAAATATGACATTGTATCAACTATCAAGTAAAGCACGGCAGTGAAGTTATATGTTGTAAGGGGAATAACTGCTCTAGCAACTTGTTTCAGATGAGACACATAATGTACACTACAAAAAATAGTTATTGGGATGATGCTGCAACTGACTAATTCTGAGATGCCTTCATTTTTATACAATATAAGTGTTTCTATAAACTGTTCCTTCACGGTTAAAACAAGATATTTGGGCCAGCAGCACTCATAATATAGCTCATGAAAAGGATTAAATATCAATGCAGAAGCGTAGAGTGATTGAGGTTTGAAATATTCACTGTGCTATGATGCAATGGTACCCTCAAGTGTTATGTTGTTCGGAGAAGTGTATGCCGACTCCAGGAAGGTCAATAGTGATACAAATATGGCATGTCATTTGTGATAAGTTTTTCATGCTCTTGGGGTTCGAACGAATAATGTCTCTTTTCGTGTAACTTGAGATATTCATTAGCTTTTTGTAACAGCCAAACCCACTTTTATGCTTGGTTAGGTTTTGTCGGCTTTGATGTGGATGTCATATTTTGAGGAGAGGAAAGTAGCATAAAATGTAGCAAATTCTGTTGATTTTTTTAACTTTACACCAAAAACCCCTGACCAAGAGTCAAAAGTTGTCCTTCTTGCTCCCTTGGTTATTCGAACCCCAACCTCTTGATTGAAGGTGGAGGATCTTTTCATCACTTCTCTAAAACATAGCAAATTAAGTGCATTTTGCAGACAAAAGCCTCTAATGTAAAATCTAATTTTTCGGTTGACATTAGGAAATGGCATGGGATACATCAGGGAAGTCCTCTAGCAAATAGGTATGAGTATATACCTGGGAAGAAAATGTCGACCTACCCAGATTATTATACCCCTTGAATCATTTTATATTATTTTGGCCTCATGTTTGGGTTGGCATTAGCAAGTATAGTCAACTTTTATGTGCGTTTTTTTTTCACCTTCTTGGCAGTTAAATAAAGTTTATCTTGACTTCTCCAAAGAAAGAATACTCTTAAACTTAAATATTTTCTTAACTTGTTCCTGGCCATCTGTTGCTGCCATGTGATCAGGAGGTCACGGGTTCGAGCCGTGGAAACAACCTCTTGCAGAAAAGTAGGGTAAGGTTGCGTACGATAGACCTTGTGGTCCAGCCCTTCCCCGGACCCCGCGCATAGCGGGAGCTTAGTGCACCGGGCTGCCCTTTTTTTTGTTCCTGGCCATCCGTCCAAATTCTCTAATTTGTCTTCCCGAAATGTTCCTAGTTCTACTGTTATTCATGAATAAATTCTTTTTGTTCACCTGTTAGTCCTATTGTTGATTGTGACTAAATTAACTTGGTAACACTTTAATGTACTTGTAATATACTTAATATGCCCTCCACCCCAAAAAGATTACCTTATATTCGTTTTTGAGCCGTACCAAAATGGTGTCCTCGACTGAAGACGCTTGTCCTTAAATATTTGATCATTTTAAAAAACATTAGTGTATTACATCAGAAGTTAGATGGGAAATATGTAAAACTTTAGTTGATTAAGTGCCTATTTTAGGTTCTTGAAACCTAAAGCGGAGGCTAGGGGTCCCACAAAAAGCAAGAAAATCAATTTGGTCAAAGTAGAAGTATCCTTGGTTTTCAAAATTATTTGCATGTTTATCTCTGAGTCGAAAGCTGCAGTCATATAGTTGTCTTTTAGTTTTAAAGGTAGGTTAGTTTTGGTAAGATGTCATTTAAGGACTTGTAGTCCAGCTAGTTTTTGACTCTAGAGGAAGCTCTTAGTAGAAGTCCTTTGAACATGGGCTCTGAGGTACTTAGCAGCTAAGTACTTTGGCCTCCAGGCTACCATTCTTAGTCGTTATTGCTTGCCATCCAAGTACTGTATCTGTTTATAGACATTGTACTGTGTAGTTCCAAATCCTATTATGGATATATTTTTGGTTAGTTGCGTTATGTGGATCCCTTGTAAAGGGTGGCTCTGTCCTTTGCTTCCTTCTCTATCCTTATTCTTGTTCTTTCTACTGCTGCCACTGTTACCTGTGGAAACCTTACCTGTCTTCTTTTCATCTGCCAAGAAGTTTCCGATTTCCTTTCCACCTATTTTCTATTGCTTCAATTGTTTTGTTCCTAGCAACTGTATATTGAAAGTAACTACATTCACTACCCAGTAATAAGCAATAAATAGTTGGCAGTCCTCCATTTTCTCAGTGGCATCTTGCAAATATGTCACTAATGTCAGGCTGACTTTCATCACTTACAAAATCTCAAGCCTATAAAGAAAGTTGCATTAACTCTACCACTAGACTCGCCTTAAAACCTCTGTATACCTTCAAGCCTTTTCTATGCATCCACGCTCAGTAGAATTGAGATTGTACTTGGGGATGGAGTGTATTTGTACATTTTGATTGAATGCAAATCTTATCCTTGAATGCACTCATTTACTTGGTGCATCTTATGACAGTTTTATCACCTTTTCCTAACTTGTTTTTCTCAAAATTTCTCCGCGTAAGTTGTAAGTCTGTCCAGGAACCTAAAATTGGTTTGGCTAATCCACTTGAAAGCAAGCTGAAGTATGATAATTTCCTTCTAATTTGCTAATTGCTATTCCAGTTAGAATCTTCAATGTGGTGAGCTGACAGCCTGGCAGTGATTTGTAACTTCCAATTTTCTTCTTTCATTTTTAAGACTCCTATCCGAGGGTCTTCGGAAACAACCCCTCTACCTCCACGAGGTAGGGGTAAGGTCTACGTACACACTATCCTCCCCAGACCCCACTTGTCGGATTATACTGGGTATGTTATTGTTGTATTTTTAAGAATCCTATTGTATTAAGCTTCAGGAAATTTTGGCTTCCCGTCGGAAATTAAGGAATTTCCAGAAGAGCTATTCCTTGAGAGACTTAAAGCCAATAACTTGCTACAACTGAAAAAACTTATAAAATCCTTAAGCCTTTACTCTTCCATATTCAATAGGAAGTCCAAGTCAAACTTGGAGGTGTTTGGAGAACTTCTACAAAAAGCTTTTAAGCCATTTTTGAGAAAGAAAAAGAAAAGTCTATGCAAAAAGAATTGTGTTTGGATAGTTGTAGCATAATATGATTGGGTTTCCTGCTATGTATCAGGCAGATGTTATAATGGCCTTAGCTGGATCAAATGGAGGATCTTGGTCAACTACCTATGCTCCAAAATCTGTAGCGAGGCCATTAACTGGAGAAAATGGTTCACCTAAAGCAGAGAATGAGGTAACCAAGGGCAGTAACTTAGCTCTAATTAGGGAGTTGCATGCCAGGTCATCTGGTAAAGGCGGTTCCCTTCACGGTTTTGGTTCTGGTGATCAAATTTCTGTTCCTCAAGGTAAAAGCTTTTTCTATTGAAGTTTGAAGCTCTACGAAATCCAAGGCTCGAGCCAAAGCATATACTATAAATGTGAAACATCCTATTGGCATTTAATATATTGTGCATGAAATGCCTCGTCTCAAGCCAGTTGCAATTTCATATGACCTCAGACAACATGTTTCTACTCATGCCTTACAATATTCAAATAAGTTTACTGCTATTTGTAGGTATTCATCGAGGGGCTAGCATAAGTACGGAAGCAAAAGCGGCACTGCAAGCAGCATCAAATAGTGCTGATGAAAAACGAGAAGTGTGATGCAAATTCCGTATTGTCTAAACAAAAATGGGCTGGCGTTATCACAAATCAGGCGTATTGCTCGTTTTCTTTTCCTTTATTTTTCACTACTTCACCCCTAGAAACCAGCTGCACTAGATATCAAAGCCAAATTTCCAATCTTGTACTGCGCTTTGTTTAGTTCTTGAATCAATGGAAGTTTAGTTGGTTCTTCCAAAAGAAATGCCAGATGTTTTATAGGTTTGTTTAGACCTTGAACTCTCAAGGCATTTATGCTTCATCTGTTCACTATGTGCAGCAGATCCAATGCTGAAGCCAAGGATGTTTTCAGAAAGAAGTTTTATCACTTAACTGAATTCAGTTTTTGCTTCTTTTTGGAGTGAAATTGCCCGAGTAGCGTGGAATGGCTACAGGGGATTCATATATCTTGAGTTTTAGTTGATTGAGTTTTTGGCTTCTTAATCTAGAACATTTTATTCCAGCAGGAGCTTATTAACTTTGAAAATTGAGTCGCTAACTGTTTTAGAGTTTGAAACTCCAATTGATCTCTCCTGTTTGTAGATGTGGTAAAGAATCATGTTTGTCATTATATGTTGTTCAATTGGAAATTATGTCTTTGCGCGTGCGCGTGCCTGTGTATCTGTTAAGTACTTCCCCAGCACTAGACATAAGTACATTTGATATGGTGTATAGTGTTTTCGGAAAAGATACTTCAAAAAATTTGGCATAAAAATATTAGACGTGTTAATCCTTTCTTGTGAAGAATCTATAAACACTCAAGAATATGATGGAAAACTGTATCTATATTGAATGCCACTTAAATACAAGTCTTCCTAAGAGTACTCCTTAAATTAGGAGACTTATTCAAATCAAAACACTATCAAAAGCTAACTAACTGAATGATAAATATGAACTAAAAGTATAAACTCTATATCTATATATAATGTAAGGTTAAGCATGAAGGCTAAGAACTAATTTAAATGGAAACCACCTTTTGTTGAACATGGTTGCGCCCAAAGTGGAAGTCTACATCAACATGCTTCATGCGACTATGAAGGTCCGGACTCTCGCTTAGGTAAGTGACACCAATGTTGTCACAGTAAATTGTGGGAGTATCTCTGACATGAAGCTTCATCTCAAGCAATAGGTTTCTCGCCCATAACAGCTCAACAAGAGCGTTGGCAACAGCTCTATATTCCACTTCAGTTGATGAGCGAGCTACAACTTTCTGTTTTTTTGAAGACCAACTGATAGGGTTTCGATCAAGAAACAGAATATTGCCAGATGTGAGATCCTATCAGTGAGATCTCCAGCCCAATCAGCATCAAAATACATGTGCAGATTAAAATCAAAATTTGGGGACACATGGAGGCCAAACTGAATTGTACCACGAAGATACCTGAGAACACATTTCACAGCTTTCCAATGTAGGTCCGATGGCGATTGCATAAATTGGGACAACTTATTGACCGCATAGGAAATGCCCGGTCTTGTAAAGGATAAATATTGAAGTCTGCCAAGACCTGGCGATAGCGAATGTGAGCATGTGATATTTGCCCTATTCAAAATACTCCTATAAAATCAAAGAAATAGATTTTTTCCCAATTATTTGCCATTTTATAGGATTTTTTTCTAGGATTTTATTAATTGTTTGCATTTTTGTGCACCTTTAATTTTTATAAAAATCATGAAAATTCCCCAAAAATGTCAAACACATCATGCATTGCATTTAGATTTTGTTTTCATATTTTTAGGATTAATTAGTTAATTAATTGCTTTATTAAAATAAAAATCACAAAAAATATCATTCATTTATATTTTTAGCCTTCAATGCTAAATTAGTAATTTTTCCTTCATTAATTGAGGATTAAATAATTTTTTTGTAAATATTATAAATAGATAATTAGTTTAGTTTTACAAATTAGATTAATTTAGGATTTAATTAGGATTTTTAAATTAATGAAAAGAAAAAAAAACAAAGAAAAGGAATTGAGATACAACAATTGGGTCTTTGATTTATTGGGCGACCCAAAGAACAAAATTGGTGGCCCAAATATAATTTTACCCATTTCACCCGAGCCCAGATATTCCCAATACCCGGTCCACCGCTTTAATAAATTAAACGTCATCGTTTCCCCTCCCCTTAATCCTAGCCGTTGGATCATTTTGATCCAATGGCCCGCAACTGATCTCTTTTTTCCCTTATAATTGTCGGACCAGACCCCTACCCCCAAAACACACACTCACAGACCCTTCTTTGTTTCTTTAATCGTCGTCGCTAGCCACCCGCCGGAAATCGCCCCACGGCGGCGGCGATACTAAAAACCATCCCAAAATTTACAATCCCTAGCCTCCCCTCATCACTAGGGCTGTGCATTTGGATCGGATATCCGAAATTCGAACCGATCCGCTCAATTTCGGATTTCGGATATTTGGATCGGATTCGGATTTGATTTTTTAAAATTTAGGATTTTCGGATTGGATTCGGATTTGTATTGTTTGAACCCGATCCGATCCGAAATCCGAATTTATTAGGGGAAGTATCTGTTATCAGAGGAGAAAGAACAACAAGTTGTCGGATTCGTTTTAGCTATAGAGAACTTCAGAATNAAAAGAATAAAAGAAAGGTCCTTAATAATACGTACAATCCGATCCGAAAATCCGATCACCAAACCGATCCGAACTTTAAAAATCCGATCCAATCCNTAGTTTACTAAGGGGTTCTTGCATATGGGACTAGAATTGCTGTGAAGAAATTGGAAGGCGTTGGTCAGGGAAAGAAAGAATTTCGGGCAGAAGTTAGTATTATAGGCAGCATCCATCATCTTCANGTGCACAACCCTACTCATCACTATCCTACCACCAATTTCCCAAAATCACCACCCATTTGTTTTAATTTCAAATCTGAGATTCCAAAAGAAATGAAAACCCTAATTCGTTCCTCTTTCTGAGTTTTAATGGTTTCAAGGCTCGATTTGAGCCAAAATTTATGCCAATCGATTGTTCTCAGTAAGAACAATCGATTAGTGTCATTTTTGGCTCATTTCAAAGCTCACCGGATTCCGTCCAAGTCAACACTGACCGGCCAAGCTTCGTCAAGCATCGTCGTTCGTTGATTTACCTTGTTTGTTCAAGCATTTCCGGCCAAATCAGTATATGTTCCTTTTCTCTCTTTTGGTTTCTTTTTCTATTTTCTTTCTGTTCTTTTATCGCTAATTAGTTTGTTTATTTTGATTAGTTCAATTTAAAAATAGGTTATTTAAGTTAATTACATGATTTGGGATTAATATTTTGGTTTGATTTTCTGTACTGGCCGAATTCAATTAGTGTGTTCAAATGCATAAATTATCAATTAACTTGTTAAAGTGTTTGGTTGATTAATATTTGTTCCTGTCAGTGTGTTTGTTCAGAATTGAAACTTGGGGGGGGGTCTAAAGGAACATGGAAACTTAGGGTATTTAGAATCAGAAATTAAGGTGGCTAGAGGGACCAATTGGGAAGTTGAAAATAGAGGAACTTCAGATAAAATATCAGAAGCTTCTAGAGAGGACTAAAGGTTTTCTTAAAAATCAGAATTTAGGTTAAAATAGGGACCAAAAGAGGAAATTTTTAGAAGTAAAAGGATTTAAAAAGTTGAGTAAATATCTGGTAGGACAGCTGTCCTAACAACTATACCAAGATTGTCAAAAGATGTTGTACTATCTGACCTTTTAGGAATTTAGGGCAGAATATGCCTTTTGATGTTGTTTTTATATACTCTATAAAAGAAAAAGACCTTTACTGATTCTGGACAGAATTTTCACACAAAAGAAAAGCTTATGAGATTCAGAATATCCTTTTCCTTTTAAGACTGATTTTAAGAACCCTAAGAAAGCTTTAAAGGTTCAGCTACTATTCCATTGGTGGCTAGTTCCATTTTTCTTCTGATTTT